TATTTATTTATGAGAGAGAGAGAGAGCACGAACGGGAGGTGCAGAGGGAAAGAGAGAGAGAGAGAGAGAGAATCCCCAAGCAGACTCCCTGCTGAGTGCGGAGCCTGACCCGGGGCTCGATCTCACGACTCTGAGATCAGGACCTGGTCCAAAACCAAGAGTCGTGGGCTTAACCAACTGTGCCACCCAGGTGCCCCAAGAACTCCTGCAGTTTGAGATCTCACCCCATATTGTACCAAGCATATTAAGATGTTCCCACATTCCATATTAAGTATGTTCTTCCCCCATAAAATGATCAGGAAGATTTCTATAATTTTGTCTTTGAAATCGTTTGGCTCTAAGCTTATTTAATTTATGATTGGCTATGGTTTCTTGGCCATTATTGTGCATACTTAGGAATTCTCCTGAAGTGAGAAAAGCTAAATCTCAGATTGTGTTTTGAATGTGATTAAATCTTTATGAACACCAAAGTCAACAACTAACCGTTTATAGACATTTAGCTGACCACTTGTTAATTTAAATTTCCAGTTTTGTTTCTTCTTGAACCAAAAATCCAGCATTTTTTTACAACTCTTAACCATGTCATGGGCCCCTGGAAAACTTGGGGACCCCAAATATTGGTCCACTAGTTTCTGATTGCTGAGATGGGTCTGCTTTTGCCCTTGCTGTGTCCTTCCTTCCCACAAGAACGAAACTTCTCCTTCCCAAAGCCCAGGCTTCCCGGCAGGGGGTCCCGCCCCTCTTTCCAGTCTCCTGGGACTGCCTCTGTCCCCTCTCCGGGCTGGCTTACACCAGCACCTTTGGCTCTCACTTCTGCTTTCCCTCCATCCTGAACATCCTGGTTCCGAATCTCTCTCTGGACTTTTTTTTTTTTTTTTTTTTTTTGCTGAATAACCAACCCTAGCCCGATTTCCTCGTTTTGACATTGTGGCCTTCCTCCGTCTGGACCTGCCACCCCAGCACCTGTGACAGGGCCAGCTTCACGGGTGTGAGACCTGCACAGTGTGAGGGGTTCCTCGATCGGAAAGACTCTGCACTTGGCTTAATGCCCTGCTGTCACCATCTTGAGATTTCCTAATAATTTTATCTCTCAACTTAGGTTTTGTAAGCAAAGTCTGGGGGGACACTGGAATCTTCAGTGAGCAGAGGAGAGATGCAGAAGAAAAGAAGGGCTTTATTAATTAGTCCTTTTTTTTTTAAAAAAAAAGATTTATTTATTTTAGAGAGAGGGAGAGAGAGCAGGGGGAGGGGCAGAGGGAGAGAGAGAGAATCTCAAGCGGACTTCAGGCTGAGTGTGGAGCCTGACGTGGGGCTCGATCTCATGACCCTGAGATCATGACCTGAGCCGAAATCAAGAGTCAGATGCCCGACTGACTGAGCCACCCAGGTGCCCCAGTTAGTACTTTTGAGGGCACTTTTTTCCTGCCTTTTGAATAAGTGGCCTCCCATTTTCATTTTGTGCCAAGTCCCACAAATTATATAGTCTGTCCTGCCTAGTCATGATGGTGGGCAGGGGCCGAGTGTGGGTCCTGGTCATTCCTGGTGCCACAAGAGAAAGGTACCAGTGAAACTGGATGCTTCCATGCAGACGGGAGTGTGTTCGTTTCTGAAACAAAGTACCATAAACCTAGTTGCTTAAAACACCACAAACGTATCATCCCACAATTCCGGAGGTCAGAAGTGCTAAAATCAAGATGTTGGCAGGACTGTGCTCCTTCTGGAGGCTCTAGGGGAGAATCTATTTCCTTGCCTTTCTGGCTTCTAGATGCCCCTGGCATCCCTTGCTCTGACCTCTGCTCATGTCCTCATGCCTCCTTCCTCTTTTCCCTGATGGGAACCCCTGTGATGACACTGGGCCCACCCAGATCACCCAGGATAATCTCCCCACCTCAAGATCCTTCACTCAATCACAGCTGCAAAGACCCTTTCTCCGTGGGAGGTCTCTATTCACAGGTTTCAGGGACGAGGACATGGACATCTTCGTGGGGGTCACTGTTCTGCCTACCAGAGGAAGCTATTTGTTTTCCGGCTGAAATCTCTTAAGTATGCACCCAGGGCATGTCAGGTTTTGTGGGTTCTGAAGTGTATGCAATTTTAAGGGTCTTCTCTAGGAAAAAAAAAAAAAAAAGAAATGTTGGTATCAAAATGAATATTACTTTAGTATGAGGAAGAAATCACAAGATCTTAGATTGAGGTCCTTTTCTTCTGAGGCCTCTGGGAAGTTATCAGCAATGACATGGGCCCTGGTCTCCTCCCCACCTAGAACACTCTCCACTCCCAGCAACCTAGGTGCTTAGTTGACCTGGGGGTACCAGGGACCCACAGAGTGCCGGGCACCGAGGCTCCTGAAATAGCCATCTTGTAAAGGCAGGCAGGAAGGAAGGAAGGAGAGAGGGCCAAGGGATAATCTTTCAGGCTGCCATGATGGGTGCTGGACTGGGTGTTGGGGGCCTCGCTCCAGTCACTGTCTCAGGATGGGGAGGCTGAGGCTGGGAGGGGTTGGGGGATTTGTCCAAGGAAACTCATGTGCCAAGCTGGGATTCCTCCTAGGCTGTCAGATTCCAAAACCTGTCCTTAGCAGCCATAGGACCTTGTAAGAGATACCAAGATCTCAGACAAGGGAGGGAGGGCAGAGCGGGAGGGGGGAGGGGAGGGAGGGACGGGGAGAGAAAGAAAGACCCAGGACCCGCTGCCTCCACCCCCACCTCCACCCCACCCCGAGGCTCCAGTGGCTTACCCAGATCAAGCCACAGTGATTCCTCTGGAAAGGGCCACCATCCCACTGCCCTGGGGTTCCTTTGCTGACTGTCAAGATCAGTTAGTTTTATGGGCTTTGGACACTTGAGAGGCAGCCCTCATTGCCTGCCTAACACCCTGCCCCCCCCTTTCATTAGTGCCTGCTCTGGCCTATTCTTGCACACCCCCTCCCTCCTCCCCTGTACCATTTATGGAGGCTGCAGGGCACCTTTGCTCTTTGGGGAGAGACTCGGGAAGGGCAGGTGTGGCTGGAGGTAAGAACCAGTGTACTGCGCTTTAAGGAAACAACATTCTCTTCTGTCCGCACTGTGAGCACCTCTTACCACGGGGGTGTGTGAGAAAGACAGGCAGTTTGGATGTTTGGCTTAGTGGTGTGTGTGAGTGCGTGTGCAGGGTTCATTGAGGGAAAGGAGGGAAATGGTGGGGTTTGTCCCTTGGGAGTTGGCCCCCCAGCCTGAGGCCCACCCAGGGCTCTGCTGACTAGGTTGTTCAGTCTGTGAACCCTGTGTGTCCCATGCAGGAAGAGTACCACCTCTGGAGTCAGCTGGGCTCAGATTCCCACACTACCCTGTCAACCTGGGCTCACGACAGAGCTTTCTTGAACTTCAGTCTCCTTATCTGTAAGATGGAGTGTCTCAGCCCATTCGGGCTGCTATAACAAAATACCACAAGACTCATGGGTGGCTTGTACACAACAGAAATGTGTCATGTCACAGTTCTGGAAGTTGGAAGTCCCAGATCGGGGTGTCAGCGTGGTGGGCTGAGGGGCCTCTTCTGGGTCACAGACTTCTCATGTGCCCTCACACGGCAGAAGGCAGAGGGAGCTCTGCGGGGTCTCCTTGGTAGGACACCAATCCTATGCAGGAGGGCTCCACCCATGAAATTCATATGTTGCAGCCCTGACCCCCCAGTGTGAGTACATTTGGAGATAGAGCTTTTCGGAGGTCATTAAGCTTAAATGAAGCCATAAGGGTGGGAGTCCTCATGAGATCGGATTGGTGGCCTTATAAGAAAGAATAGGAAGGGAGAGAGATCTCTCTTTCTCCACATGAGGACAGTGAAAAGCCAGCTGTCTGCAAGCCGGAAAGACAGCTCTTACCAAGGATCAAATCTGCACCTTGATCTTGGACCTATCCTGGACTTCCTGCTTCCGGAACGTGAGAACAGAAGTCTCTGCCGTGTAAGCCCCTTTGGCCTGTGGTCAGACAGCTGAATCTGGCTCTCTCCTTGGTCTGAGAATCTCCTGAGGGCAGAGAGCACCCCGCAGTCTCCATGCCATCTTCTTTCCCGACACTCCACGCACGCGGGGGCCATCATCAGCGCGGATGGCCGCCTTTTCCTGGACAGAAGCCAGCTCCTATTGGATCCCCTGCTCTGTGGCCGCTGTGATGATGAACAGTTTTTCTGAGCAGGTTACCCTCTGATAGGTTCATGAGATACGATATGGGCCACCCGGTTAAATTAGGATTTCTGGTAAACGACAAATATGAAGTATATGTTGAGCCTGAGTATGTCCCAAATATTGCCCAGGACACACTGACAGAACAACACTCTCTGTCGTTTATCTGAAATTCAAATTTAAACAGGGCATCCTGTTTGCATTTTTGCCTAAGCCTAGAAGTTCCACCCTCTGGTCTTTTTATAGAAGGCCTGGAGATCATAGCTCTTGACCTGCAGCAGTGGTTCTCAGAGAGGGGTCCCAGGACCAGAGCGTCAGCAAATCCTAGTTCAGAACAGAAAATCTCCATCTCCACCCCGACTTCCAGAGCCAGAACCTCTGCGAGGGCCTGCATTCTGTGTTTTTGACATTCCTCCTGGGAATTCTGATGGGAGCTATAGTTTGAGGGCCATTGACCCCGAGAAGGATGCTAATAATAGGAGGTTCCCGCCCCACCCCGCTCCGCCCCCCCAGCCAATCTTCCCCTCCCTCCCCCCAACATATCCTGCTCTGCTGCTCACTCAGGGCCTTGGACTCAGCTGCTAAGGGTAGTGACATAAATGATGTCAGGGACGTTACAAGGTGCTCTTTCCGGGATTTCTGTGGCTTCATAGGAGACTGTGGTGTCTTAGACATGCAGAATGTTCTCCGCTTGGCCTCCGGGCTCTGTTCTACCCGCCCCATCTGTTTCCGAGCCTGCAGAAGGCTGTGAACCAGAGAATTTATTCTTCAGGGCGGGATCTGCCAGTCGCAGCCAGGGGGAGGGGCCTGGTGGCTGGAGGGACACGTGTGCCGGGAGGGAAGCAGGAAGTGACTTCGGGAGTGGAGCCGGCTGAGCCAGCGGCAGCGGGGCTGATGGAAGTGGAGTGGGGGCTTGAGAGGGCACCGTAGTGAGTCAGCTTTTTCTCCCTTCAGCGCCTTGGTTGGGCTGGAGGCCCGGGGTCTGGGGCCAGCAGGAGAGCGTGGGACTTGGAAGGGCGAAATGGAGTTTGGAAGGGGGCGCCCCCTGGGGTAGAGGAGGGGGTTGGAGGAGAAGCCGGGTGGCTTGGCAGGTGGCCGCGGAGGGCAAGGCCGCCCGGAGCCCCCTCTGCCTCTGGCCAGGGTCAGGTGGAGGGTGTTGACCTGCCTTCCTTTGACAGGGGCTCACCAAATCCTCCGTTCAGTGCGTCCCCGATGGCATGTGGGCGCCCCCCCCCCCCCCGGAGCCCCGGGAGCAGAGGTGGCTACAATTCCAGCCTCTCTGCATCCCCTCCCGCTCATTCTGGGGGTCAGCATGGCCTCTCGAACTTGACTGGAAATCTGGCGACCGTGCAGCAGGCCTGAGCTTGTGCATTGCTAATCCCTCCCTGGGTCCGCGGTCCGGACCGCACTTTGAGCAGCGAGGTATTAGAGAACTTTTCTTACAGTTCCATCCGCCCAAACCCGAGTCCTGTTGCTGGATTCTTCTGGTGGAGCCGGGCTGTGTATGTGTGCAGTTTTATTAGGTGCTGTTCCCACCTCTGCAACATCACCAACATCTTGAGTTTCTTGGAAGCAGGGCAACAGGTTTGCGAGGGAGAGAAAAGCAAGAAATCCTCTGTCAGGGTCCCCTCTTCTGCGGCCTTAGCAGAATGTGGACACAGGTTGGGTGGTGTTGGTATCTTTAAAGTTGGGGAGGGCAGGGAATAATCCTTCCTCTTGCAAATTAATCAAGGTTTATGTGTTAACATCCGGCTCACAAGGAAGTCTGAGCCCCATCGTGGAAGCTGATTTTGAGGGGCTGGGACTGGCGCTCCTGTCTTCCAGGAGGTGCTAGTGGTCGACCTCTTGGAGAAAACGTTTCCTTCTCTTGAGATTCTGCGTCAGCCTGACCAGTCCTTCCCTTGTAGGGCAGGAGAACTCACTTTCAAAGCTCTGGGTCTCTGTTGTAGACAAGTGCTTTGCGCTGCAACACGTGTGAGAATCCCTCACGGAACTTGAAAAAAATGCAGATTCTGATTCAGCCTGAGAGCCTGCATTTCCCAAGGTGGGACCAGCTCAGATCACCCTTCCAGGAGTGAGGATTTAAAATAGCAAATGGAAGAAACTTCTCCGGGGGGCACTGGGCTGGCATTATCATTGGTAAATACTGTGACTCTGGGGATGGAAAGAACGTGCCTGGCCTCGCTGTCCCTTTTCCTTATGTCTCGGGCGCTCAGGTAAATGGAGACAGGCTAGGATAGTGCTTTCCCTCCCACTAGCCCCCAGGAACACCCAGAGCTCTCTTGTTGGCTGGCCCATAAACCCCACGTTGACTTTGGCCTGTTGGCAAATGGAAATGGCTTCCTCTTTTCTGTTTTCTTAGCTGTTGAAAGGCACATTCAATACTGAAAAAAAAAAAAAAAGGTTGTTTTTCTTTTTTGACCTGTCTTGGATGATAAGTACTAAGAGGATGATAGCCATAGGCCTTTCTTTGTAAATGCTGTTTCAGATTTTATCCACAAGCAGCTAGAAATAGAAGGGTGGTGTCATGATCCAGATGTCTTGGTTTACCAACAAACACGAACCACTCATTTTAGGGTGACACTTAACAAGATGAAGTATGTAGATAGGTGGGTTTTTAAAAAATACAGTATTTTTTCTTTATTTGGTACAGTCACCGTCCTGAGTTTTATTCAGACACAGTCCAAATCCATAAGATGCTGTTTCTCCTGGAGGCGTCCTGGCTTCGGAGCTGAGCCTGGGCTCAGCTTGCCTCACCTGGGTTTGCAGAGACTCACAGCCGTACCACGCTGGAATCCTAGCCCTGCTGCCGAGCCCCTTGGCATAAGGGCCCCGTCCACCCTCTGCCACAGTTTTCTTATAGGGTTAACAGAGTCAGCGTCTCTAGCTCTTGAGCTGCAAGCCCAGGGTTGCTGGTTGCTCACAGAGCGCTGGGACCTGGCAGGTCTGAGCCCACTGGGGTCATGTCCAGCTCTGTGGGTGCTGGAAGACCAGTGGGCAGCTGAATGAGCCCTTTGAGATGAGGCTCTGAGCCCTGATGTTTGTGTACACAGGGCTTTTCAGCAAATGGGTTTCTCTGCCCTGTAACTTTCCACAGCAAGAGTCTGATTCCCTATCATTTCAGAGCTAGAAATTTCAAATGTGCTAAAGCCCAGAGGAGGTTCTCTGAGCAAAACCAAGAGGAAATGGTACTTCTCTTTCTTTCCTTGGTGGGCAGTGGTAGAAGTTCCATTTCAGCAGTGGCGTGCTCGGTTGACAGGGAAATGCCACTTAGAGCTCCGTCTCTTTGTCCTTGCTGAGTGTCCTATCAAGGTAAGCTGGCCCTTTTCGATACAACAGGTATTTTTCAGATGCCAGGAAGCCTGATTTTACAGGGGTGCCAAGTGTGAGAAGGCACCGTCCCTGTTCTTCAGCTAACGATATCAAAGATGAAGGAGGCAAGCCCGCACAAAGAAGGCACCGCAGATGGGCACTGGGATGGGAGTGGAGGGGGCTCTGGAAAGCATGGAGTCCACGCTGGCGTCAGGTGGGCAGCAGAATGTGCCCTGGGTCGGCTGGCGGCAGAGAAGGAAGGACGAAGGCATTCTGGGAGGGAACTGGATGAAGAGTGACTTGGAGCCGGGACCATCTGGGACTCCTTGAGGGTGCTATCAGGGACTCGGCTGAGCCGGAGTACAGGGCCCACACAGGGGGTAGTGGTTGAAGAGTCGGTGGGCTAGTTGGACGGCAGTTGGTGGCGCATGCCCTTGGCAAGTCACAGGGGGGCTGCCACAGGAGCCTCCATGGGGAGCCATTGAAGGTTTGGTCACGACTTAGGAGGGAGAGGTTCAAGGGAGAGTCTGAGTTAGTCACCTGTATTCGGAGGAGAGAGAACAAATGCTGGACAAGGGCAGATAAGAGTAGGCAGAATGTGCTGGAAGGCTGTAATCAGACCCTCCTGTGCTCTCTTCCTCTTGGCTCAATAATCCACATTCTGTGAGCTTCTTCTCTTTGGAACTCTGTCCCAATGTCCTAACCTCTTCTGTGGGTCCCCCTGGCATCTCCCTAGGTAGCCCCAGGTCTGTCCTTTCAGGGTTGGGTGATTTCTGACACGTGGTGGGCCTGGATGAAGAGGCTCGGCCTGACGCCGTGGAGGGATGGCGTGGTCGAAAGGTGCATCGCACTGACCCAGATTACAGGGCAGCCCACGTGGAGGGTGTTAGGACACCTTAGCGCGTGTGGGCGTCACTGAGAGGGACTGTGGGTGGCTGACCCTCTCCTGCTCTTCTGCACACAGCCGTATCCAGCATGCTCCAAGGCCACAGCTCTGTGTTCCAGGCGCTGCTGGGGACTTTCTTCACATGGGGGCTGACGGCAGCTGGGGCAGCTCTCGTGTTCGTATTCTCTAGTGGACAGGTGAGTTGCTTTGCTTCGGTTCTGAGGTTTGGGGGCGGGGTGGGGGACTTTTAGCAAGCTGGAAAACCACAACTTTGGCCGGGTTGCAGACTCCTTTCGTGCCACTGGCCGCACCACCAGGTTGTAGGGGATGTTTGTTCTCTGTCCTGTTTTCTTCTCCTGCTCTCCTTACCAGGCCAGGAGGGCAGGTGTCTGCAGCTACTCCCCTCCCGGTGTGAAGGGAGTAGGAAGGGTTATTAAGTTATTAAGGCTCCTTTAGCCCCTGTGTGGTTTCTAGCTTCTGGCTAGTCTCCTTCAGGCCTGGTGCAGGTGCTCAGTTTGGTTGTGTAGCTGGCCTGGCTGGCGTGACGGCAGACCCTGGGGGTGGGGGGCGGGGAGGAAGGGTATCTGTTCTCATTTATCCCATCTTTTCATTCCCTCCCCGATCCCCTTTGGGATGAATATACACAGACTCATCTCCCCATGCCCCTGCTGACTCCCTTCCCACGCCCCACCCCTGCACATCCTCCGCCCGTCCCCCCAGCACCCTCACTCACCCTTGTGCCTGCGTGCCTCACCCCCATGTGCCCCATATCCTGTCCCCCCACATTCTCCCTCCCCCGTAGCCTGCACACGCCTACATACCCCACACGTACTCCTGCACGCCACCCGTCCACGTGCACACCCCAACCGTCCATACGTCCCCCACCCCGTGCATCCCATATACCCTCACGTGGCCCACACACGTATCGCACGGTCCCTGCACTCCCCACTCATCCCCCACAATACACGCCACATACCCCAGCCCACTCCTCCGCAACCCCCACCCGCCTTCACCTGCCTGAGATTCCTTTCCTTTCTCCAGCCCTTGACCCCCTCCGGCCATAGGCCTAGAGCGACGGCTCCATCTGTGTCTTGAGGAATACAAAGTCCCTGCAGCGTTCAGTTCAGCAGGCAGCCTTAGAAATTGGAGCGGTGATAAGCGAGTAGGGGATTTAAGATCCACTTAAACATGCTGTGAGCTGGATCTGGAAATGAAAACACAGTCTAGGAAGTTGGCAAGCCAGATGCTCTTGTGTTGGAGACCAGTAAGACAGGTATTTGATGTCGCATAAGATCCAACGTTCCCCCACCCCTCCGTGGGAGGTTTGGAGCCTATCAGAAACACAGAACTCAAGACACACAGCCTGGATCCCTGCTTGCTGTTGATAGGTAGTGAAAACTTTTGGGAGCCGGTCCCTGAATGAGAAACACCGAGGAGGCAGAGGAGAGGGCCTCCAGGTCACCTAACCCTCTTCCTCCTTCATGACAGCCCAGCCGTGCCATCTTTGTGCCCTTCTTGGGCAGAGAGGCCCATGGTTTTATCTTCCCCAGTTATTTTGCAATGAGGCGAGGCCTGAGCCGCACTGGGCTGGGCTGCCCTGTGGAGGGCTTGGGAAAAGGCAGCACCGCGGTGGGTGGGACCCCAGAGCCCCATGTGGCCCTGGCCAGTGCTGTGGGGCCTCTTCGGGAGGGAAGAGGTGCCTTCCCTTCTTCACAGGGGTGCCCCCAGCCCCTTTGGAGCCTCAGAGCCCCTAATTTGTCTCTTGTTAGTGTAACCACCAAGATCAGCAGGAGAAATTGCTGAAAACTTCTGCGTGCAAGGCATATTCCCCAAGACCAGCACCACGTTTGGTGATTCACTAGAAGGATCCATGCCACTCGGCTTATAGTTGTACTCACGGCTAAGATTTAACGTTGGAAGGATCAGCAGGAGAAAGAGACAGGCGGGGTCTGGGGAAGTCTGGGCACAGGCTTCTGGTGCTCCCTCCCTCCTGTGAGGGCCACACTCTTGAGTTCTCCTTCCCCCAGAAACAAAGATACAGTAACACGTGTGCGATGTGTCCACCCAGGGCACCCTTGAGAGCCTCAGCCTCTGACTGTTCTACCTGGGGCTGGTCACGAAGGCGCTCTAGGCTGCTGAAATTTGAGACTTGAGGGAAGAAAGCAGGTGTCGCCTACCCGTCACCTTGTTCGGAAAACAGTGTAGGCACACTGACCCACCCTTACGGGCAAATGGAGGGAGCGGTTCAAGTCCCAAGTCCCCAGGAGCCAGCCAAGGACCAGCCTTGCAAGCAGGACCTTGCAAAGGGAGCAGGCTGGAGGTGGGGGTGGGGGGGCTACGTTAACCCTTTCTGCACGGGAAGTGGGCGTGAGGAGCGGGAAGGGGCTTGCTGTTGGGAGAAAGGTGGCCCAAGACAGGAGCCCCAGAGATGTGCTCCGGCACCCTGAGCAGACCTCCGTTTTCATTCGGCTAAGGGGGGCGCTGCAGCGAGGATCCCTTGGGGTGGTAGACACACGGACTCTGCTCTCCACTGCTACTCTCCGAAGTGGCTTCACTCAAAATTTGTTTTCTTGCTTTACAATATATTTTAATTGTAGGAAGCTTGTAAAGAATGGAAAAGGTTAAAGAAATAATAAGTTTCTTTTTAAATTTATTTTTATTTATTTACTTTTAATTAGTTTCTGGGGTAGAATTTAGTGTTCCTCAATGGCGTAGAACTCCCCGGGCTCATTCCATCATGTGCCCTCCTTAATGTCCATCCCCCAGTTACCCCATCCCCCCCTGAACTCCCCTCCAGCAGCCCTCAGTTCGTTCCCTATAGTTAAGAGTCTTTAGGTTTGCCTCCCTCTCAATTTTCATCTTATTTTATTTTTCTGTCCCTTCCCCTATGTTCATGTTTTGTTTCTTAAATTCCACATATGAGTGAAATCATACGGTATTTGTCTTTCTCTGACTTACTTCGCTTAGCATAATACGCTCTAGTTCCGTCCACGTTGTTGCAAATGACAAGATTTCATTCTTTTTGATGGATGAGTAGTATCCCATAGTGTATATAACTATACTTACACACACACACACACACACACACGCACACACACCTCGCACCCCACATCTTCTTTATTTATTCATCTGTCAATGGACATCTGGGCTCTTTCCATAGTTTGGCTATTGTGGACACTGCTACTATAAACAATAAACAATAAAAAAAGTGTCTGATCCCACGTCTCAGAAAAAAAAACCTGAACCGATTTGTTCAGTTATATTTGAGTATACACAAATTTATGCCTATCTGTTTCTTTACATGATAGGGACCAAATTGTATGTAATGTTTTATAACCAGTTTTCCTCACTTGATACACAAGCTTTCCTCCTACATCCCTAAATGGCTTTTTGATGACTTTGATTATTTCGATCACTTGGGTTACTTAACTGGCTGTGTCATATTCTGTCCTAAGGTTGCACTATAGTTTAGCCATTCCTCAACTGTTGGACAATTAGGTTATGTCCTTTTTTCTCGATCTTTTTTTAGAAATACCTTTATGATGGACATAAACCTTTGAGCACCTATCTGATTAATTCCTTGAAATAAATGTCTAACAGTGGAATCAAGGCTTTAGTGACATTTAGAAAAGTACAATTTTTCTCCTTTCAAGATCCAGATGAATGCTGGTAGAATAATGTTACCTGACTTCTTTATTAGATCTATTTGGTTTGATTAAATTATTTGGTTAGGCCAACTTTGCATCTGTCATGGCATGCCTAGAGAAGAATGTCATTTGTGCGGCTGCCTGGAGTCAATCCCTTCCATCTACCCTGCAGCCACTCAGAGGAGGGAGAGGGCTGAGCCAGTGGTCCTAGCTGCCCAGCATCACTGGGAGTCTCAAGGGTTGGGGCCATCAGCAACCCAGCATGTCTGTAACATGTCCATGTGGCTATCGATGATACCCCTAACGTAGACTATGAAGTTAAGCGAATGTTTTTAAATTGAAATACAAAATGCGTATAGAAAAGTGCATATTTTACAGCTTGATTTTTCATGGCTTCCTATGAAACTAGTACTCAGCTCAAGAACGAGGACAGTACCAGCCCCCCAGCAGCCTTTCAGGCTCCTTTCCAGTCCCTCTCCCCACCGCCCACCCCCCGACCTCCACTGCAAGGGCAGTCCCTCTCCTGGTCTCTGACAGCAGAGATTAGTTTTCTGTGTGTTTCTACATTACATAAATGGAGTAATCATATAGTATGTGCTCTTCTGTGTCTGGCTGATTCCACGCTGTTTATTTTCCAGTTTACCCTTGCCCCTGCCTGATTATGGGCTTCATTCATATATATATCGTGTGTGCTCTCATTGCCATGTGGCATTCTGTTGTATGAATACCTCCTAATTGATGTCTCCATTCTACTGTTGGTGGGCATTTGGGTAGCGTCTAGTTTTGGCTCTTCCAAGTACTGCTGCTGAGAGCTTTTTTGTGCCTGTGTTTGGTGAATCCAAGTATGCATTGCTGTTAGATGATGATTTCACTGCTCAGGAGTGGCACTGCTGAGTCATAGGGGACACCTATGTTCACTGCTAGTGGATGCTGCCAGTTCATTTTTCCAATGTGACTGTGCCATTTTGTACCCCCAGCTGCAGCGTGGGAGAGTTTTGGTTGGCCCCCCTAGTTCCCATGAACACTTGTCAATTTCCATCTTTTAGGCCAGCTACTTAACTAAAGGTTTATAGTTATAATTCACAGGAGAGCCAGGTCGAAGGCAACATATGGGCCAGTGGAAGCCAGGCATCCCTGAAAAAACATGACAGGCTGTGGGATGGATGGAAGTTTCAAACAATTTTTTTCCCCTTGGTTCTTGGCCCATGTTATAAAGGCTCCGATCCAGGTCTACAGACAGGTTGGCATACTCAGGCCCGGGCCAGTCTTTATTCATGTAGCTCTCTGAGATCTTATGGTTTCCTTTTATCTCCAGAAACATCCCTTAGAATCTGAAACATCTTGTTTATATTTTCAGAGGCGGATCTTGGATGGAAGTCTTGGCTTTGCTGCAGGGGTAAGTAACGTGTGGTAGGAGCGATGTAAACAGAGATGTGTTTATTCTGACATTTCTCTGCCAAGGGGGTATTTCTAGGCTCTCTCCATGCAACCTAGATGCATCTCTGTGGTCTCCAGGTCCCTTCTTATCTCTGCCCCTACTTATTGGCCAGCTTATTGAATGCCCCCGCCTCTGAGACCAGAAGGGAGGCTTGCTTGTTGGGCACCTGTCTCGGGACTTGTGAAATAAGATCGTATTTAGGAAGGGCCTCAGGTTCTCCTTGGTGCTAATTAAATATTCTTTCTTTCACCTTCCCCTGAAAAATCCTTTTGTTATTGACATCTCCAAACATGTAAAAAAAAAAATGGACAGAATCCCCTGTAGCCATCATTCAGCTTCAAGCATTACTGATTTGCTAATAGCATTTCTTCCGACTTCCCCCAACCTTCTTTTTTTTTTTTTTTAAAGATTTCATTTATTTGACAGAGAGACACAGCGAGAGAGGGAACACAAGCAGGGGGAGTGGGAGAGGGAGAAGCAGGCTTCCCGCTCAGCGGGGAGCCCCATGCCAGGCTTGATCCCAGGACCCTGTGATCATGACCGGAGCCAAAGGCAGATGCTTAATGACTGAGCCACCCAGGCGCCCCTTCCCCCAGCCTTCTTGAGAGGTTGGAATATTTCGTAAAAGCAAATCCAAGACATCATGTAATTTTCACCTGTAAATTCAATCCACATCTCTAACTGAATGACTTTACTTTTTTTTTAACAACATAATCCTCTTATCACACTTACCCAAATTAGCAATTCCTTATTGTAACCTAACACCCAGTCCACGTTCATAATGATTCCCACCATTTTTTTTCCAAAGGGGTCATTGAAAATTGTTTTGTTAGAATCGGTATCCGAACAAGATTTTCACATTGAATTTTTTGTTGTATCTTTTCGGGGTCTTTTATTCTTGAACAATCTCTCTGTTTTTTTTTTTTTTTTTTATTTCCACTGCAGTAATTCGTTGGAGAAACTGGGTCATTTATACCCATAGAGTATTCCATGTTGTGAATTCGGCTATTTGGCTAAATGGCTTCCTGGGGGGAGCTGTCTCCCTTGTTCCCCAGCTCCCCCCACCCCCATCTCCTGTGAGCTGGGCATTAGACCCTGGGGTTTGGTGACTTCAGAGCCTGTTTTCCAGGCATGAATGTGCCCTGGTGATGCCGCGTGTTCCGAGTGTGTCCGTCCCACTGGAAGTTAGTAACATGTGGTCTTCTCTTTTGGTTAATCAGGATGTGGTTCCTTTATCCTGTTTGTACAGTCGTATGATCTGGGGTCTTCCAGAGGTCACCTAAGTCAGCAGCCATCAGACTGGGGCCCGTGGACCTTCCGGAGCACAGAGGTCTTCCGGGTGGTGCACAGGGGAACGTATAGTGTTCACAAAATTCATTTCCAGGGCCTCAGCATCTGCAGGCTCTCTTTCTTAAAACCGCTCTGCCTGAGGATGCTCTGGCAGTCGGTTCCCCTTGCCCGCATTCCCTTACACATTTGCCCTCCTCCGCTTTCCAAAAGAAAGACACACTCTTCCCTTATTACCTTGTCTCTGGGTGGCAAAATCTCCACGTGTAAGGGGGACCCTTGGGATGTTGTGCTGATGTGGAGAAAGTGAGGACTCTCATCACTGATCACTGGGCACAAATCCTCCAGGGGTGCAGATGCTGTCTGGTCCTTTGACTGTGGATCTAATCCAGTTGTTAGCAGAGAGAACCTTAAAAGTAGTTTTCCATGATGGACCACTCTGGGATTTGGGGCCTGTAATTTGGATAAAATTCAGAGAACAAAAAGACAGTATTGTAACAAAGTATCTATTTTTTTCCCATCCTCTTCTTTATGTGAACACATCTTTTTGCTTACATTTAAAAAAGAAAAAGAAGAAAGAAAAGAAAAATAGAAATAAAATTGATTCCCAGCTCTCTCTGATTCTAGCGATGACCACTTAATATTTGTCCATGGATATATGAATGAATTGAAAAAACAAGGAAAAGGGCACATCCATGGAAATATGCATTTCCAAGAATATTTTACTTTTTAATGCTTAATAATTATAAAACTGTATTATATTTTTGTGGTTAGAGATCTATTCTCTGCCATTTATACTTGTAATGGTAACTCAATCCAGGAAATTGTTACTTAAACAGTTAGAGCCCTAGGCTTACATGGATTTTCCTAAAAATTAAATTATATTGCAAAGAAGTAGGGTAAAGAAATCAATAATAGGCTTTCTAGCATAAAATATAAGTTGCTTTGGGAGAAATTCCTTGGGGAAATGGAATTAAAACATAAGTCTAGGAGAAAAAGGAATGGTGTAAGTTTTTGGACTTCTGAAGAAGGGCTTGCTTGTGCTTATTTGTGTGTTTAGAATATAGCCTGTGAACAGAAGAGTACGTAACATGTGAACATACAGTGTAGTTTATATATATTTTTCAGTGGGTAATGGTGGGAATCAAATCCCTCTGCCATTTAGATCCCAGCGGATACATTTAACTGACCGATGAAACAGTTTTATTTAAAGAAATCACTATAGGCCAGGAATTACATCTTTTGCAACTCTTTAAACTCAAGATGAAAATATTTTAAATGTCAATTTTAAAAGAAGTGAGGGGGTACCTAGTCTTTAAAAATTCTTATAGGGGTTACATAGACACAGAGTTTGAAGAGCTCTGTTCTGTGCTATTTTTCTGCTTTTGACTAGGCATTTGTGTCTCCTGTTCTAGTTTGTTCTTTTTTTATTGTTTTTTTAAGATTTTATTTATTTATTTGAGATACAGCGAGAGAGAGAGAGAGCGAGAACACAAGCAGGGGGAGCAGCAGGCAGAGGGAGAAGCAGACTCCCCACTGAGCAGGGAGCCTGATGCAGGACTTGATCCCAGGACCCCAGGATCATGACCTGAGCTGAAGGCAGATGCTTAATGACTGACCCACGCAGGTGTCCCTCTAGTTTGTTCTTTTAGGGCAAAAGCCACTGTAAGATTTACATAGCAAAAACCAAAAACCGACGTGAAACAAGAAAGGAAACAAACAAGCAAAAGCAGAGGACAGTAGTCTTCAGGGCATGTCAGAATGAATTTGGGAGCATGAAACATGAACATTTAAGATGAAATCATCAGGTCAGTGTATTGTGGTCATTTAAGTATGAGGCTCTAAAACAAAATACTTTTACTTCTGATTTTTAATGTAGTTGGTTAAAAAAAATTCTAAAAATTATCTGTGTGTGTGTGCTGCTGCTTCTCCTTCTTCTTCTTAGCATTTTCTTTTCTGAAACTGACCTTGAGGTAGTTCCATAAGAGGAACCCCTGGAAGATCAGCAGATACATGGAGAAAAGTAAAAACATGATGTGGGAGACAGTTGAGGCTCAAATGCAGGAAATTTCAGTGGCCTTGGTGACTAGTAGTGAGTTCTCATAAATGCTTCCCCAAACTAGGGAAAAGGCAGTAGAGCCCCGGGGGCCTGAGCTATAATAACTGCTTGTAGTAATCATGGAATAATTTATAGTGAATATGGCCATTGTGCTGGCTAGGACAGTAGTTCTCAACTGAGGGATGCTTTTACCCCCCGGGGGACATTTGGCATGTTTGGTTGTCAAAACTGATACCTAGTGGCTAAGGGCCAGGGATGCGCACCTAAACACCTTCCGGTGCCCAGGATGGCCCCCACCACAAAGAATTTTCCAGACTGACGTGTTGGTGGTGCCATGCCAAGAAATCCAGCTCTAGAGCATTTTGATGTGTTCTCTCTAGTCACAGAGTGGAATGTGTAAAAAGACAGATGTAGTTAGGGGCGCCTGGGTGGCTCAGTCGTTAAGTGTCTGCCTTTGGCTCAGGTCATGATCCCAGGGTCCTGGGGTCGAGCCCCACATCAGGCTCCCCGCTCAGTGGGGAGCCTGCTTCTCCCTCTCCCCTGCCTGCCGCTCCCCCTGCTTCTGCTCTCTCTCTCTCTCTCAAATAAATAAATAAAATCTTTAAAAAAAAAAAAAAGACAGATGTATTTAAAGTTAAAAGAAGAAGGAGAAGGAGGAGAAAATCATCCTGCCTCTCCCCTTGCTTCCCAGGGGTCACCACTGTTAGCCCTGAGCAGATCCTTAGAGAACTTTTATCATGCACATACAAAGTATCCGGATAAACATGCCATCCTGCTTGGGATCCTTCAACACAGCTTTTGTATTTATTCTTCACAGCTCTGAGACGCTTTGAATAAATATCTTGAAAAGGGAAAACTAGCGGGGCACCTGGGTGGCTCAGTTGGTGAAGCATCTGCCTTCGGCTCAGGTCATGATCTCAGGGTCCTGGGATCGAGCCCCACATCGGGCTCCCTGCTAAGCTGGGGGTCTGCTTCTCCCTCTCCCTCTGCCCCTGTCCCCCAACTTGTGCATGTGCTCTCTGTCTCAGTTAAATAAATAAAATCTTAAAAGAAAAAATGAAAAGGGAAAACTAGCCATCAGCCAGTTGACTGGGGTCCCACTGTACCCAGCACAGATGTAACATGTTTTCATGGGCAGCTGTGTATACATTTATGTGTGCGCGCGGCTTCTTCTCCTCCTTCTTCTTCTTCTTAGCATTTTCTTTTCTGAAATACGTATCTGGCATAATGCTGCAGTAACACATCTCTACGATATATAATTGTGCACTGAGAAAGGAGATTCCTAAGACTAAGGACATGGCATTTTAAATGTGCTTAGCGGGATATTTCACAGGTGGTTTTTTCTCATTAGCAGGGCCTTGGAAGCATTAATCACTTCTCCTTAAATGACTCCTCTTAGAATCTATTTGCCTTTTTTTCTTTTCCTCCTGACTCCTTAAATCACTCTTTAAGTCTTTAATAATCATTATCTAGTTCTTCTCAGTACCCATGTCTGCCCTTGATTTTTGCCTGAGGTGTGAACTTCATGGGGAGAAATGTTACCATTAAAAAAAAAAAAGCAGAAAATGAAACCTAGAATATTACAACATTAAAGCAGGAAAAGATTTTAGAT